AAAAATATTAAATAATAACAATTTTATTTTTTATTAATAGGTCATGCAGATATTTCGAAGTCAATAATAAAACAACATTGTCCACAATACCGTTGACGGTAAATTTTATATTCCAAAAGTAAACAGGATGATTTTTTATGTAAATTTTCTTTCCATAAATGTAAATGAATTGTTAGGGTTATACATAACATACATTAAATATGTTGAATAACATTTATACAGGTGAGTACGTTTCGAAGTAATCTACTCCCATTTCTTGCGAAAAGCCTTGTGCGACTAATCTTGCCTTGTATCTTGTGACTTTTCCTTCTGTATTAGGCTTGAGTTTAAACACCCATTTGCATTCCCCGCATTTTCTTCCCCTGGGCAATTTCGTTAGTTCCCAGGTTTTTCTGCTCGTTAGGCTGTTGAGTTCTTCTCTTATTGCATTTTTCTATCCAGCAGCCTGTGAAGAATGTAGTGCTTCAATTAAGTCTCGGGGTTCAACTATTTCTACTAAATTCGTCTCAGTGTCATTATCTCTTACGCCGTTGCTTTCGCCTTCGCGAAGTGATTCGCAGATAACGAAGCTATCTGATATAAATTATCGACCGTAGAAAGTAGAGATGAAATGGCTATTACGAGCCAAAGGTTTATTAGACTACGTATTGAGACTTGCAGAGCTGAGTGATATCGCAGTGGAAGCGTGCTGGGCCCATAACCATTGTTAGGGTTATACATAACATACATTAAATATGTTGAGTAACATTTATATTAAAACACAGAGTTAACAACTATTATAATAAACTGAGAAGAGAGAAAAAAAACTACGAGACAAATGATACGTCTATGCGCGTCGTCGATCGCCAGTCGAGGGAGAAAAATCGAACTGTAACGTGGTTGACGATCGTACCCACAGCGTCACCAATAGACGGAACAACTCTTCATGAATTATACGCACCGGCGTATGTAAATAAATATATGATATATAAAAATTACCAATTCTTCGAATATGTCGCAAATAATTAAAATAACAAAAATTTTGATACTCCTTATATGCAATATAATTTGTCTTTATCTTTTACTTAATGATTGGTTTGAGTAATAAAGAAATATTTATAATTTTTAATAATAAAATTACACTACTGGAAAAAAAATTTGTATTTCCAAATATTTTTATTAATATTTGCTTATTATACAAAAAATACACATACCTGACTTTTACCTAAACGTCAATTGTTATTAATAATTAATGCTTATCTAATGTAAGAACACATTCTTTTATAATATTTTGTAATGTATCTTTTTTAAAGTTATATTTTAAATATAACTTATGCTTCAAGAATTTAAAAAATTATTTTTATTTCAAAAGTAATAAGTACAATCACAGACGACATACAGAATATATCTAACATCTTTATTCTACCATTTTCATGCCGATTTAGTATAGATTAAGATTACAAAATTAGTAGTGGTTGCAAGACAATTAAACGTAACTATGAAATTACAAATAAGAAAATAATGTAATTGTTTATTAGTAAATGATTCATTATATGCGCGTGTTCTACTGCTGTCAAAAGATCGTGAACAATTTTATCCACGCAATCTAATATATTTAGTTGTACTTACTAAGAAGGACAACTCGTTCAGGTATTTAGTAATACAGAAATGATTAAGCAAGGAAAGAAATACGGGTAGACCAGCATAGCACTAGAGAAATGAGTATGACAAGGAAAGGAATAGGGTTAAACAAGGATAGAAAAGTTTCAAAAGTGACACTAACGCCATCTCGCGTTTGGCTTCGCGAACTAACAACTCGTTACTAGGAACACAGAATATAAACAGAGCTATTAGACAAGGAACGCACTAGTGTGCGAGAAGGATAGAGAGAGAACGTTTCCTATTGGTCCGCGGGCTACAATGGCTGCCTGCCACACGCTAAATCAAGTCGGCCAAGGAAAAATCATTAATAACTCATTAATTTGAATGATTTTGTGAACTTTTAAGACTGAGGAATAAAGTGTGGACCTTCAGCAACTTTCACAACGTTTCCTATTGGTCCGCGGTCTGTAATGGCCGTCTCACAGACGCTAAATCAAGTTAGCCAGTGAAAAATCAGTAATAACTCATTAATTTGAATGATTTTGTGAACTTTTAAGACTGAGGAATAAAGTGTGGACCTTCAGCAACTTTCATATATAGTTTTTAATGCACTAGACCCTTTCAATAATTAGTTATTAACAATTATTGTGCGTAGTATCGGCAGCAGTACCGTACATAATTCTGGTTTTTCATTAATTTCATAGCTTTGTACAAATAATTTGTGCACATTTATACATGCATTTAAAAGGCTATTCCCTTAGCTAGTTTCTCGTTATATATTCATCGACATATCCGTTGTAATTTGCGAGTTATTAAACATTATTTGGGTAAGTAATACACTCGTCGCATTCAAGCGTAAGACATTTCCGTCATTTTCCTTAATAACTCAATAATTACGTTGATTTCGTGAACTTTTAGAATTGGAGAATGAAGTGTGGATCTTTAACAACTTTTTCATATATAGATCATAATGCACTAGAGCTTTTCAATAGTTAGTTATTAACAGTTTTAGTACGTGATGTCGGAAACGATACCGCATACCTTTACGGTTTTCCAATAATTTCATAGCTTTTTACTAAATTCTCACACAACAAACTGCATACATCTGAAAGGTAACTCCTTTAACTACATTCTCATATCATTTTTATTAACATATTTCTTGTGGTTTGATAGTTATTTAACATTCTTAATACTCGTAAAGGTATGCGGTATCGTTCCCGACATCCCGTACTAAAATTGTTAATAACTAATTATTGAAAGGGTCTAGTGCGTTAAAAACTATATATGAATGTTGTTGAAGGTCCACACTTCATTCTTCAGTCCTAAAAGTTCACAAAATCATCCTAATTTATGAGTTATTAATGATTTTTCCTTGGCCGACTTGATTTAGCGTGTGGCAGGCAGCCATTGCCGGTATCGTTCCCGACATCCCGTACTAAAATTGTTAATAACTAATTATTGAAAGGGTCTAGTGCATTAAAAACTATATGTGAATGTTGTTGAAGGTCCACACTTCATTCTTCAGTCCTAAAAGTTCACAAAATCATCCTAATTAATGAGTTATTAATGATTTTTCCTTGGCCGACTTGATTTAGCGTGTGGCAGGCAGCCATTGTAGCCCGCGGACCAATAGGAAACGTTCTCTCTCTATCCTTCTCGCACACTAGTGCGTTCCTTGTCTAATACCTCTGTTTATATTCTATGTTCCTAGTAACGAGTTGTTAGTTCACGAAGCCAAACGCGAGATGGCATTAGTGTTACTTTTGAAGCTTTTTCTATCCTTGTTTAACCCTATTCCTTTTTTTGTCATACTCATTTCTCTAGTACTATGCTGGTCTACCCGTATTCCTTTCCTTGTCTTACTCATTTCTGTATTACTAAATACCTGAACGAGTTGTCCTTCGTAGTAAGTACCACTAAATATATTAGATTGCGTGGATGGAATTGTTCACGATCTTTTAACAGCAGTAGAACACGCGCATATGATGAATCATCTACTAATAAATAATTACGTTACTTTCTTATTTGTAATTTCATAGTTACGTTTAATTGCCTTCCAACCACTATTAATTTTGTAATCTTAATCTATGCTAAATCGGTAACGTTGGAAGCGACATGAAAATGGTAAGGGTCTTTTCGGCCCCCGTGTCGTGGACAAAAAGTCCCATAAGATGCAAGGTCTATCCCTAACATCATCTGTACCCATGCAATCCAGTATATGTATGTATCTTTATATGCCAATTTAATAAAAGAGGATTTTTTATATCTGTCGATTTTACGACCTTTATTGGTTGAATTATATGTAATTCCTAAACTCACCGCTTGATATCGTAGAGGGCATAACAAAGCCTCTGGTTCATTACACGATCGGTATTTCAGAACGTTGGACACAAAAATACATTAGGTGATAGATCTATTCTGTATCTCGTCTGTGGTGCAATATAATTGTAAGTACGTTACATAACATTTAGATACACAACGGGGGATGAATGAAATTTCCATTATATCTATGAAAACAAATTTCTTGTATAACCACTAATTGTATCGCTATAAATATAAGAAACAAATTGCCGGCAATGATTTCGCCAATTGTTATTGGAAGTAAGTTTACTGGCTGGTATTGGGGGCCTCTGGCCTGTAATATGGTCATGGCCGTCTAGGCGAATCACCCCAGGGCCTTATGCTGGACCTTACTCTGCCTGACTCACACAGTTTCAGTGGTTCTCCACTGTCGGCTATTTCATATGGTTTTTAATGTGTTTTTTTTTCTTCTATATAATATGCGTGGTAAACGTGAAAATATAATCATTTTCTGTTAACAAACATAAACATAACTTCTCAGTAGATAATGAATTATCAATATCGACATGCCGTAAAGGGTCACAGTAGTAGTTTCATACATTAGTAGTTAATTATTTTATATACTTAATATATATGATATTATGTCCTGTAACTACCACAAGTATGTTTATGTTGACATTTTTATAATAATCTTAACTGAGTTAAATACGAAAGACCAGGAATGTGTACTAAAATCACGATAAAAGACGTTACGACCTTAGTCGTACTAATTTAGTAATAATTCAATGACATTACAGTGAAGAACATCAATCGCGTCGAAGATTTATCTGGAAACTTCAATGCTTCTCCGGTTGCAGAGGAAGGACAACAGAAAGTCCCTGGTCGCAGGTGCGATATATTACGCGACTTCCTCTCGCAAATCGGTTTAACGGAACATTGAAATGATATTCCTTTGATTTCAGCTAAAATTACGGTAACAATTACAATTACACATTGTTA